GCTCAGAACATTTAGCACACTTTTACCAGCTCCACATTAAAATGTGAGGACTAGTCCTCTCCATTATACCATCTTAAGTTAAAACAGTAAGACAAAATGGTGAACTACCCTGGAGGAATAATGAAACACTGAAAGAGCAGAACAGTGAAAAAACATGTAATTAGGAGCATATTACCTGCTTCCCTACTTCTGATAGTCTTAACATAAATTACTGCTACTTAGGCTCCTTTGCAAGGAATGATAAGGTACATTAATAAATAAGGTTTACTTGTCATGAATTAATTAAATACATAATTTATTAAACCAGTTAGAACTGATTTCCAAAGCAGCTTGCAATTAAAATATACAAACAGATACATATCTTCATCATAAAGTAGAGTTATATCTGGAACAGTTTTTTAATCCTAGGAGTACCTGACTTCATCTTGATTCAAGGGCCTTCATATAGAATAGATGGAAAGAAAGATCTGCAGATGAATTCAAGGGCCTCCTAAGATAATTTTATTATTCCTAGTTACTATGTTAGCATTAGAACCTAGCTCTGTAGCTGGAAGTAGAATAACATATAACTAGCTAAATGTTCAAATTTGAGGAGGCAGATTGACATGTCTTGAACTGTCTACAGGATTGATATTTCAACCCTCTTGTTTCTCAATTCAGTATCATATTTTGCCATAAAGGCATGATCAGTCTAGTTCATTGTTTTGTGTTTTTCACGATAATAGGCTTTTGAGGGGAAAATTCTGCAGATGCAAAAAACCAAGTAGAAACAATTCAAATATGATTATAAATACATATATTATTTCTAGAAAGAATTTTTAATTTATAAGGTATTTGTAGGTCATTGATAATAATTTGAGCAATTGGGTTTAAGGGAATAAAGCCATTCAAACAATGTATTCTCTAAGGAAAAATGTTGACAAGCATTTGAGATGAATTTGAAAAAAAGTTGTTATCCAATTACATATATTAAAACTTCCTAATGCAAGGAGGAATTGGAATTTTATTTGGGTTTACACAAAAACAAAATACAACATCTTTTTTGAAAATAGCATGGTCCCAGGTTATCACTTCTTCATACAGACACAAAACTCAATTTAATGCTCATTTTTATATTCTATTCCATATCTTATTACCATTTTATATTTTCTACATAGTTTTTCCCCTCTTCTAATTTTCTCAACTTTGTTTTAATTATCTCAATTCAAATCATTATATTCATACTTTTGTCTGTCCTGTTACAATTTCACATTATCTTTTCTTATTAAGCAAATTTTCCCTGTAGTTACCAATTAGAGTATGACACCTTTATATCCTTTAATTTTATCCATTCAAGCTCTTATTTAAGCTTCATTGTATAGCTTTAAGATTATAGCATTCAATATAATGCATAACTTCCAATCAAATTCTGCTTGGTACATTCTTAAAATAGACACTATATTCTTAAAATAGACACTATATTCTATATATATATATATATATATATATAACACACATTCCATTCCAATTCAATTCTATCATTAATATGCATTAAAATCTTAACCTCTTTAACATTTCTTTTCAATTCCTTGGGAACACTTATAAACTTTCCATAGTTAATTCTTTTTTTTCCATATTTCTCACTTATATTTTTATAAATCATTACTAATAATTAAAAATGTTCCCTTTTAATTCTCTCAATCATTTTAATTCATTTATTTATTAACAAACATCCCACTGCATCACAATCAATATTTTATCCATCATCATATTTTCTAAAGTTATTTCTATTTGTAATATAACAAAGCTATCTTATGTACCTTTGCAGAATCCCTTTTACAATTAAATTTGTCTCTAATTTATCTCTCCATTATCTCTAAACAAACTTATGGTTACAATCCTTATATCTTTTCCCTGTTTCTCCATTTCTTGTTTCTGTCTTTTACAACTTCTTTTCCTTGCCTTCTTCCCCCTCTTCTTCTCCCTCCCCTTTTTACCCCCTCATCTCTCTACTTCTAACTCTCTCATCTGTAATCCCCTCTTCTGTTGCTTTCTAATATTATACTTATCTTTCAAATTGTTCTTCTTTTTGGTTGTTTTTTCTAATCTTAAACCTTTCACTCTCTTTCCCCACTTTTCTTTTTTCCCCCCACTTGATGGCTTCTTCTTTGTCCCAATCTTCTTGTTCTGCAAGCGTTTCTTGTTGCTTCTCATAGTTCCAGATCTCCATTTCTAAGAATTGAAACACGAAGCCAAAATAACTTCTCCTTTCTTGTGCGCCTTCTTTCCATTTTTTAAGTTCCGTTTTCAGTTCTTCTAAGAGTGATACCATTTTAAAAACTTTTAAACAACCACCCCGTTAATTTTAGTCATCTAGATGCAAAAACCAAAAATCACCAAGTAATCCAAATAATCCAAGGCTGTTTCTACTTGCTTCTTTTTTTTTTTTGAAAACAATTTTATTGCTTTTTAACAAACAAACAAACAAACAAAACATAAAAACATCAGCTCTCATCCGTATTTATATACAAACAGTGAGTCGGTTGGTTCATCAGTTTTGTGCATTCATTTCGTAGTCACAATTACAATTACCTTACATAATAACTCTTATTATCAATCCAAACTTATATATCCTCATATCATTATTAAAGAAAAAAAGATTTGACTATACTTTTATTCAATCATGCCTTATGAGATAACTATAATTTAAGTAATTTACTCTATAACAAATCATATAATCCTACCAATTCTATCCTAAATAAAAAAAAAAGAGAGAGAGAAAACATTTTATAAATATAATATCAAATACCAAAAAAAAGAAAAGAAAAGTGAAATCAATATTATTCCTTATTGTCTAACATTCTAAATATTCTATTTTTGTATTTCATCATTCAACCATTGATAGAAAAGATCCCAAATTATATAAAATTGTTTATCTTCTTGCTCTCTAATTTCAAGTCAATCTACTCATCTCAGCACATTCCAATATTTTCTTTATAACTTCTTTCTGCAATGGAATTTTCTCATTTTTACAATTTTTTGCAAATACAATCCTAGCCGCAGTTAACACATTTACAATCAAATATTTCAAATCTTTACTATAAACATCTGGTAAGATTCCCAATAGGAAAAGCTCCGGTTTCAAATCTATATGCTTCTTTGTCATTTTTTCCAACCACATGCGGATTTTAGTCCAATATTTTCTAGCATCCTCACAAGTCCACCACATATGGTAGTATGAACCAGGTTTCTGATGACATTTCCAACATTTTTCGGATTTGTTCTTGAACATTCTTGCTATCCTTGTCGGGGGAAAATGCCACCTGTAAAACATCTTATACAAGTTTTCTTTATAGGCTGTGGACATTGTCAATTGTCCAAGGCTGTTTCTACTTGCTTCTTTTTTCCACTTTCTCTTCCTGGGGTTCTATTATTTTGTTACCAAGTTTCCATTAAAATGTATCTTTGAGGAATCTTGTTAAGATTTCACTGTAAGTTCCTTTTAATTACAGTTCCATTCCTTAATTCCAGGTGGTCTCCTCCATTTTTCCAGATCCTGCCCTTCTATTCTTTTTTTTCTCCTTTCTAGCTTTTAAAAACTTTTAAATGTCCAGAAATCTTTATTATCCCTTTGACTTTTATTTTCAGCTTAGATGCCTATTAATGTCAAAGTGGATTTTTTTTTTCAGTTTCTTGCTTAAGTCTCTTAGCTGTCAGTATAAGGAAGGGGAAAAAAAAACCTAATCCTTTCCCTTCTCTCTCTCCTTTGCAGCTTCAAAATCTTCTTTGGGAACAATGTTCTTAAGTTTAAATTCCAGGGTACCTTATTTGTTGCTTTTGCTGTTTGACCCAGTCAACCAAAACTTTCTCTTCTTATCTTCCTCCTACACATTCTTTTCCGGTCAAGTTCTTCTTTGTGGTGGCCATTTCTGACCACCGCTACAATCGCCTTTGGGAAAGGGAGTAATGGCCAGCTGGGGAGGAGAGATGCGGCTCTCCTCAACCCTGCAGGCAGTCTCCCCCCTCTTCACCACATCTATGGGGTGGCTTAGCCCCGAAACCAGCCGGCTCGGGGCGCTCCAGCAGCGAGCACGGATCGAAGCCTCGGAGAGGTGAGGTTTCAGTCTGTCGCCAAAGAAGCTCTAACCGGAAGTTCAGGAGGAAGCTGAGTTTTGTAATGCTGTTTTTCACATTGAACTGTCCCATGGTGTTACAAGGATTCTGCAGTTTTCTGGGACAGATTGGAGTGCCATAATGTCTGTGCGCACGTGTGCGGGTGCATGTGCAAATATGTGCATGCCTATGCCTACTATAAAATTACTGGAAATCAACTCTCATTCTGATCAGATGAGCATCTACTGGGCCAAAGAGCCTCCTCTTTGCAGAGAGATACCATTAACAGTTTCCATTTAGTTTATCTTCTCTATTTTTAGCATGTGAATATACATCCAACTTGTGAAATCAAAGCCAGTAGTGAAAGGGGGTTATACGGTGACTGCTGCTGAAGGGACATCTAGTCCTATTCCTTTCTGTATAATGTTTGTTTATATCTCTTATTTAAAAATTGCTGAAAAGAAAATCATCTTTTGAGATTTAAAATCCAAAGGAAGAATGAAACCTTGCAGGTGCTGCCAGTGAAGTATCTTTTAATACCAAGTTCTATGTGATAAAGACTGTACAGATTGTGCTCATTCAACTGCCACTCATTCGGTGATTGTTCAAACTTATGACTGTTCCTCGTACTTACATTGATCACAGCATCGCCAACAGTTACATGATCATCATTTGCAACCTTCTTTGATGGCTTCCCGTTATCAAATCAATGAGGAAACAAGTGGGAAGTTACAAATGGTGATCATGTGACATCCTCACTTAACAACCCACAGTGATTTGCCTAATGATATAACTGACTGGAACATTCATATGACCACATCGCTTAGCTATGAAAATTCCAATCCCAGTCACCATTGTTAAAAGAGGACATTGTTAAGTGAGGTCCGTCTTTCTCTTTTGCCTTATAGGGATCCTGCCTGTGTACCACAACATGTTTGCACTAATGAGTGAGGTTGACCGATGTTGGTATCCTCCAAATTACACCTTCCAAATAGATGGATCAGCTACTGTCACTGTACTCTACCGAATAAGGTAATGCTAATTGTGGTTTAATTGGTAGTAAATGGGACTCTGTTTGGAATGAGATTGCAGTGCTTTTTTCCTGAAAACAAAACTAATATTTCTGGAAAAGGTTTGAGTCAGAATTTGATTTTACTTATGTATCATCTTAAAGGACTTTTTTCAGTCATATGTAAAGAAGCAACTTTAATCAGAGAATCAAGAATGTCAGTTAATAGTTTCTTTAATCTGAGTTTCTAATATTTGAGCATAAATAAGAATTAACAGGAATGCTTAATTACCACAGCTTATCAAATACATAGGAGCTGAGGGATTGGCAGCACAAGGAAACAAAAGCCAATTGCCAGCCATCAACACACCAATCAGCCAATAGGAAGGCACCACACAAACATGACTCACAGAACAGCCAAACATGTATTTCAGTAGCGAGATATTCACTGAAGACAGATTCCAGCACAAGCTCGAAAGCTTGGAAGAGTAAATCTCTGGTCCCAGTAACTGTTCCATATTTGATTTCATAAATAAGAGTGTTTCATACAAAGAGCAGTAATTTTTTTAGTCCTTTACTGGCAATCTTGAGCAACAAAGTCACTTGAGATTTTAGGGCAACATGGCTGATAAAGATTCTGTAAAACCTTGGGAACTTAATTTCATTCACTTTGAAATAGTTTTGATAGTGTCAGTACCTATGCCCGGTGAAAGCCTTTTCCTTAGTTGAAGGTTATAAAGCATGGGTGTCAAACTCGCTGTGTAACATTGCCGTCACATGACATATCACGATGTTTTTTCCTTTCGCATAGCTGGGGTGAGTGGCCTACATGTGACACATCTGGCCCACAGGCCGCCAGTTTGACACCCCTGATAGAGGATTTGCCATGGTGGCACAGTGGTTAGAATGCAGTACTGCAGGCTAACTCACTGTTCACTCCAGGAGTTCAACTCTGAGCTCAAGATTGACTCAGCCTATCCTTCCAAGGTCAATAAAATGAAAATAAAATAAAAAACCAGGTTGTTGGGGGCAATATGCTGACTCTGTAAACCTCTTAGAGAGAGCTAAAAGCACTCTGAAGTGGTATGTAAGTCTAACTGCTATTGCTATTTGTTACCTTTTATGATCCTTATAATTCTTTTTTGCTCAGGAGTAAAATTCCTTCTTTAAATACCCTACAGCATAAATGCCTTATGGGCTAATAATAATTTCTGGTCCTTTACATGGCTTTAACTATCTGGGCAATAGTATACAGGTAGTTCTCATTTAACCATTCATTCAACAACTGTTTCAAGTTGCTATGGCGCTGAACAAGAGGGTATGTAAGATGAATCTTCATAGATTCAGCCCTGGGTCATGTGATCGTGATTCATGCACTTGGTGACCATCTAGCAATTATGTCGAGCTGTCTTGTAACACCTCATATCAAATCAAAACTTGAAATTATATGTGTCAAAATTAGGTCTGGGATATTTGGTACTGCCTATTAAGATTGGATATTAGGTAGGACATTCTTCTCATGAGTTTTGAGTAGCAGCTACAATACATTTATGAAGCTTACTTTCCAAATTTTAGAGGTAACAAAAAAACCAAACCATTTTGTTCGACTGACAGAATAACATACATACTCAAAACCCTAATTTTATCTCATTTAGATTTCAGTAACTTTATTCTGTAAAAAAATAAAAAATTTAATATGTAACAAACTGTTTCCATACAGATTTTATTTCCCACACTGGTATTGCAGCAGCAATATACGAGCATACCGATATGGCGTTTCTCGAAGTGCAGAGAGTCCCGTTCTTGATGATATTGTCATGTCTTACCTATTTGCTCAGGTAAAAATAGCTAACTTATTAGATAGGCCTGTAGCTATTTACTCCTAGATTGATTATGCATCTATTGCTTGTCTAAAAACACTTCAAAGGTTATACTCTTCAATAGAGCAAGACTGGGAGTAGCATCAAAATACTGCTGAATTGTGTGCTTTGGATGGATTCTTATGGAAGATTTTTCAAGTTGTAGTAAAAATAACCCACAGAGAAACACTAATTCTGAGTTCTCACTCTTGTTTTTGATTCAGTGGCGAGAAGATTTTGTCCACGGGTGGGTAAAAATGGCTGTGACTCATGAAACACAGGAAGAATGTCTTGGAATGGCTGTTCTTGATATGATGAGAATGGCCAAAGAAAAGGACCAAACTCCATTGGCCATTTACAATTCTGTAAGGTAATTTATTTTTTGAAATGGCATATGGATCGCATATACAGCATACGTAAAAGTACATTCTCATTCTCATATATTCTATCTAGATAGATCACTGTAATTCATATCTAAGTATTTGTATTAGGTGGCAAAGGTTAATGCCTCTGCTACAGATGAGAGTAAAGTTAAGGAGTGATAGAGTTGTATCAAGAGGGATTTCTTCTCTTTTCTGTCATGATCTTCTACTTTCTTTAACAAAAACATGCATAGATATCCATTAGGTTTAGAACAATAACTGCTTCTGAACTTATTAACTGTTTTTCACAACCGGTAGTTGAGGTTTTCAGATCTGTTGGCAGAAGCCCCAAACTGTAATTGTGCAAGCAGAAATGTCAATTCTTTCTTCCTTTTGCACACACGCACACACACACACACACACGCCTATCCCATATTGCATAGTCATCTGTTTTAGTGGGTCCTCAAACAAAAATGCAAAAGGAAAGGATAGGTGGGGGCTCTATTTTGTTCACATTGAAAATTAAAATCAACGCACACTGCTGCACTTTTTCCCAAAGCTTTCAGTACAGTATGTACCACTCTGAAAGATATGGCTGACCTACAGTTTGTCAGCAGTTTCTTCTCCACAGTTCTAAAATGTACATATTATCCATTATACTACATTGGATTGCAGAAAACAGATAATGACAGATTTGAAGGAAGCATAATGGAAGGCAGCCAAATGCAAATGTCCTGAATTTTTTTATCTATATTTCAATACAGTATATTTTTCTCTTTCCCTCTCTCCATACCCCCCCCCCCCTTAAGTTCTTCGTTCTGTTGGCTGTAGATAGACTGTTTGGTGAACCAAATGCTCAGTTGTAAACTCCATGACTTTTTTTGTAAAAAAACAACTGTCTTTTAATTGCTCTTAGCGAAGTTTGATTACTCATTTGGTAGTTCTTGTATTCACAGCTACAAAATGTTTTTGCCAAAATGCATCAGAGAAAAAATTCAAGATTATCATATTTTGACACGAAAAAGAATAAGGTACAGATTCCGGAAATTTATTCAACAATTCAGCCAGTGCAAAGCAACTGCCAGAAATCTGAAACTGAAGTATCTCATTAATTTGGAAACCCTCCAGTCTGCCTTTTACTCAGAAGAGTTTAAAGTGAAGGATCCTGGAAGAGAACCTACAAATGCAGAATCTTTTGCAACCATTATTATAAGTGGAAATGGCGGGATACAGTGTTCCAGAGGAAAACAAAATGCCAGTGAGGTGCTTGCAGATGAGGTAATATTTGATCTTGTTATTTCATGCTTACTTCGGAGAAACCTATTAAAATGATTTAGCTTTGTCATAAGAATGCATTGTAAGTGTTTAGAAACAACGCTGTACAGTGATTAAAAATTACACAGTAGCTAAGTAGATAATTTCCCAGAAGATCATTAATGGGCAAGAATGGAAGTTTCATAAATCTTAGTTGGTACCTACTTTTTTTCCACAATCTCAGTGATACAGGAGCTTGGTTAATCTTCCAGCCAAATGTTGCTTCTTAATCTTCATAAAGGCCTACGCACACGAATGCACCTGTAATTCTTCTTAATTTGTGCTGAAAACCAGCAGAATTGCAAACTTGGACAATTTAAGATTACCAGTATTGTTACTGCAGAGAAAACTGATTTAGCAATAGAAATTATTGTAAAACAGAAAACGTTATTTTCAACTTCTCACTGTGGCATTGGTATATGAATTTTCCTTTAATGTTCAGTCTCTTAACGGCAATACTACAACTTTGTATTTCATGAGGTTTTCCTTATATAACTACAGAAAAGAAATGTTTGGAAATTGTTTCACCACAATTTGCAGTTGCTGTTTTAGGATGGAGTAATCTTTTAACAGTTTATTCAGATGGATTCCTTCTACTTGTTGACCTTTGGAAATCTTTCCAAATATTTATTAATTTTTTTATCATATGGCTATGTTCCAATCCCTATTTCTGCTGGGCTGCAGATGTTGTAAGGGAGCAGGTGAAGGAGGGGTGTTCTCCTAGCCTAAAGATAGTGTCACATAAACTATCATCACATATATTTATTAGCAGTGGGGAGGTCAGATCTAAATTGGAATTGCATCTTTTGAATTGATTGAAATCTTATCAAAATATTTAAAATGATTATTTTCCAAAGCAATATTATCTTTTGCTCTTGTTTTTTACAGGACATACAAACCTACTGTGATTTTCCTGATATTATAGATGTCAGTATTAAGCAAGCAAATCAAGAAAGTTCTGGAGAAAGTAGAATTGTAACCATTCACAAGCAGGACAGCAAGAATCTGGTATTGAGCTAACTTTGGTTACTTTGTGTTAAGTGTATTAACACAAAGTCAAATAGATTGGTCAAATAGATTGGATAATATGCTTTGCATTTTAGCATTACTTTGGTATCTAATACAGCCACAGAAAGCAATTATAGAAACAGTTATTTCTACAGTGTATAATAAAATTATTTTCTAATTAAAAAAGGAAGATTTTAAGGATGACATCCAAAGCCTTACTTATTCTCTTGCAAAATTAATGTGGTGATTGTTTTATTTGCTAAATATTACAGTCAGCATTATACAGTGTTTCAGTTTCCAATCTGAGAAACGTTTAGAATATGTGGATGGAGACAGAGGTGGGATGCTACTGGTTTGGCCCGGTTCTATAGAACCGGTAGCTCTGACAAGCAGCAGACACCAAACCGGTTTGGTGTCTGCTGCTCTGTTTGGCCCAGCTACCCACCCAGACTCTTGGCTGTCCTTTATTACCTGCTTTTTCAACCTCAGCTGCTTTGCGCGGCATAGCTGAGGTTGAAAAAGCAAGAAAGAAGAGGAGTTTGAAACGCTGCACACACTCACACAGTGCTTGTCAGCTGTCTGGGCGGCACCGCTGATGTTTTTTGGAAATAGTCTACAGATGTGTGCAAAACGCACTCTCACCAGGGGTGGGCTTCTACCTGCCAGAAAACCGGCAAATCGCACCACTGGCTGGGCCTGCCCACTCACTCTTTACCTGGCATGCGCGCCATCAAACTTGTCTGCTAAGTTACTAGTTTTCCTTCCCTCCCCCTCAATCATCAGCTGTTCTGTGTGCCGGGAGATTTAGATTAGCCGGAAAGCAGGAAAACGTTGAATTTCTTGCTTTCTAGCTAATCTAAAAGCAGAGCTGAACCTTCCTTAGGACTGAAGCTTCTATTTTTCAGTGCAGACTCAGGTTGTAGATTGCATAATGGCAGATCTCTGAATGAATCTGTGATTCTGTGAGCAACTCAATCTGCCTGCCTGCTTTGCCTGATTTTGGGTAAAAGTTGCTCTTTTTTAATAAAAAATTCAATATTTACATAAATATTTATAATATTTACATATAAGCCATGCCCAGCCAGTCACATGACCACCAAGCCACACCCACAAATTAGGCCACACCCACAGAATTGGTTGTTAAGAAATTTGAATCCCACCCCTGTCCCCAACCTCCAGGCCGTAGCCCACTATTGGACCGTGGGCTATTTGGAACCAGGCCACATAAACAGTTGGGCAAGCGGCCTGCCGGTTCCCCTCTTCTCCCTCACCCCGGTAGACCACCAAACTGTAAAGACTGGGGACTGCTGGTATAGATGTATCACTATGGTGAGCTAAAACCTTGTTTGGATAATTCTTTGTTCAGCTTAAATTGGCAGGAGACAGAAGCTTGCAGGCCAGATAATTTAATCCTTTATTTCTATTTACACATTCATTCTCTCTCTCTCTCTCTCTCTCTCTCTCTCTCTCTCTCTCTCTCCCTCTCCCTCTCCCTCTCCCTCTTTCACATACAGTTGAATTTCTACAAAAGATAAAATGCAAAAAAAACAGATAAAAATAAAAGGAAAGAAGTTTATCAATGTCTAACACAGAGCATTAGCTATTTGGAAGTAACATATGCTGCCCACAGTCTTCAGGAATGGGCAGCACTCAAATAAAGTGAATAAATAAATTAAATAGCATTATTCAAAAACATAATAGCAATAGCACCTAGACTTATATACTGCTTTACAGTGTTTTACAGCCCTCTCTAAGCTGTTTACAGAGTCAGCAAAAGTAGCCTACAAGTACTGCACTCTAACCACTGTGCCACTGGGGCTCTTAATGTTAAGATAGAAAACTCGTGCTTATTCATCTCAGCACATAGCATTGACTGTATGCTTTTTTGTCATTTGCATTTTTATTGCTTCACATTCTTTACTCCATTTTTTTTCCTTGTCTTTTATAGGAAGCTGAATTTCATTCATTAAAAGAAGCTCTTTCTTTTGTATCATTAATCGATGGATATTATAGATTAACAGCGGATGCCCATCATTACCTTTGTAAAGAAGTGGCACCTCCTTCAATTCTTGAAAATATCCAGAGCAATTGCCACGGGCCAATTTCGTAAGGAATACTTTGTTCTAACGTTTATCTTGGGAATAGATAACCTTTTGAACTAGAGGCACATCAGATACTAACTAGGCTAGGCATTTGGGAACACAGTAATCATTGTGTACATTACCCCTGCTCATTTGTACACATAATTTGCCTCCATGGTTATAGATGCAACTTGGACCATATTGAGGAAGAAGCTTCTTTCTACCTAAGGAATCGGGTTAAACTAGCTTTATTCTTGCTCTTGTTGTTACTGCTAGCAGTAGAGGAAGATCAAAAGACAAAATGAGGAAGATCAAAAGCAAACGTTTCCTGCAGCTGCCAATCAGCAAATGTCTGGGACCAGTGTCATGGCAGATGGGAGTTGGATTGCCAGGGGTCCTGAGTGCTGCAGATAAGGAGGAAGGGAGATAGATGTTCATTCGTATCAAAGCAACTCCTGTGTGTACCTATGAAAAAAGAATTAGTAACAGTTCTTTTGGATCCACTTTAACTTGTTTGAATTTTATACGTATCTCCATCCAGACTCTCAGATGTTATCTATGCACACACACTAGTTATTTGAATGATTGTTGTGGAATATGGAAAATTGCTAACAAAAAAAATTACTCTTGGTACAGACTACTTCTTCCTGTTCCTTTCATGAAGTCGGGGAGAAAATATGAGTAGAAATGTATGTGATTCTATATAATATGTCCCTGTTCTGAACAATTTAATATATGAACATGTCCCAGTTAAGGTACTGATGAATTCTAAAATCAAGTGAGTATTGCATAGGAAAGAGTCACAATGTCACTCAAAGAAAGTCAGATAGTAGTCTCCATCTTTAGGAAATCACATTATCTTGATGGAAAACAGAATTTCTTTTTTGTTTACCTGGAGCAAGAATAATTCTCTGAATTGTGTCCTTCGTAGCCTGCCAAATTTCTTCAAATCTCTTCTGAAGTTCCATTTTATTTTAAAATATGTTTAATTATTTTACTCTCTGTTGCATCTATCCCATTTTGTCCCATTCAATTAAAGATAGCCCCCAAAGTACAACCATTCCTTTAGCAATGGTTCAAGATTATGTCATAGTCCCCATAATAATTGCCATTTTAGCACCCCCCACAATACTGTGATCAGAAAACCGTAAGGATACTTATTTCCCTCCAACTGCCTACTCTACCTCCCAGCCCTGCCCCCTTTTGGCCATCTTGTTGGTCTTGCCACCCTCTACTTGTGGGCCCTGTCACCCTTACCAGACTGCGCTGCATTCATGCTGTGCAGCTCACATCTAACCTTCACCACCTCCTCTTCCTGCAACTGCTTCCGAGACACGCCTGGTCTGGCCTTTTCTGTGAGGCAGCTACTGGTTCTGCTAAACCAGGGGTCCCCAACCACCGGTCCGGGGACCGGTACCGGTCCGTGGAACAATTTCTACCGGGCCGCCGATTTGCTGGGCGCCGCCATCTTGTTTTGATGAAAAAGTTCTTCCAGTGAGCTTTTCCAGGTAGAAAGCGGCGTTTGGGTGCTGAAAGAATCCTCGCGCCTTAGTTTCATCGGGGGGGGGGGGCGGCTTCGAACAAAACTAAGGTGCGAGGATTCTTTCAGCATGCATGGCAAGGCGAGCCAAGCGACTGTCCTGAAGCCGTCCCGAAGCCCATCGACACAGGTACAAAGGAGGAGTTGAAGGTGGCGGGGAGAAGCAGGGGACGACTGGCTGGCTGGTCGCTCAGCTCGCCTTGCCATGCGTGCTGATGCCGGTACCGGGCCGTGGATGATTTTGTGATACTGGTACCGGGCCGCGGCACAAAAAAGGTTGGGGACCACTGTGCTAAACTACGTTCCCAAGGCTCCACCTGCCCTTTTTCCAAATCATTCATAACCTTCTTGAGATGTTTGGAGCTTCACATGGGTCAGGGTACGCAGCTGGATTGCTGTTCTTAAGCAATGAGTTAGTGTGACATTACCCTACAACCACATTGCTTAGTATTGGATATTCAGGTCCCAACTGCCATTCTAACCAGTTGTAAATTTTATTTGGTGGCATTCTGCTAGTGGAAGAGCAAGTCAAGGAAATGGGAAATGATTTCAGCAATTTTTTATTTACTAAAAGTAATGTGGAAAGAGTAGCCTTGGATCAATCAAGAGAAGAGGAATTATCATTTCACTGACAGATTATTTTTGTAAAAAAATCTGCTATATCCCAATATATTCTGTAATTCAGAAGTGTCAGCTCTTTTTAATACTTTGTTTTTCTTTCTTTTTTTTTAAAACAGCATGGACTTTGCAATCAGTAAGCTGAAAAAAGCTGGCAATCAGACTGGCTATTATGTTCTCCGTTGCAGTCCAAAAGAGTTTAATAAATACTTTCTTACTTTTGCCATGCAGGTTAGTATTAAGGATCTAGATTTCTAACTGCTTTGCTTATGCTTAAGACAAGATTTCAGTTCCTTTTATTTAGGGGGAAATCATGTTTTGTTTTCAGAATAACATCAGTACCTCTGTTTTGAGAGTAACGTATGTAGTTATGAAAATTGGCACCAGTTGGACCAATATTTTATTAATTTTCCCATTCACTGTCACTGTTAATTCAAGTGCCAATTCATATTTAAATTTTCAGAGTTTGGCTATCATTTATATCCATTTGTGTGAATTTGCCAATAGAATAGCAGCTTAGAAAGAGATACAGGAAGAGATTCAAACTTATCAGGGGAACTTCTGAAATAGTTAATAAAGATTATTAACATCAGCAGTTCTTCCTTCAAAAGACACTGCACAATATTTATTATTCCGTAATAACTTACCAAGAGTGATAAGTTTCTTCATTTGTTAAAAAAAGTATATTATTTGTAAGTATCTGCAATTTAAAAGTTATAAACTTTGAAGAACTTCCTGCTTAAATTGCCAATTTTTGTGTCTATTGTGTCTATTTGTGTCTATTGTTATTGTGACATTTCTAAGCAGAGTGCAAAGCAATTAAAATGATTTAGGTTCAGAACTTACTTTATAAAAAATCAAAATGTTTGCTATACAAGTTTACCTTTATATACTAAAGGAACTCTTAGCAGTACAGTTCAGTTCTTTTGTATTAAAACAAAGCTGAAGTGTTGAGCTGTGGCAATCCTTTGTTCCAGCAAGCTTTAGTGTAGATTAAAACAAAATTAGGCTTGCATTAGATGGTATTTATAGAGCAGGTAAAATCAACCAAATATTAATGTCATGATAGCTGGATATTCAGAATAAAATTAAAAAATAATTTTGTTCCCTCCACCAACATATTCCATTGTTTGTAATGGAGTTTGTGTGATGAGTGAAAGTTAGAAAGCTACAAAGGGACCAGTAATGAACCAGTAGAATGAGTCATGTCCTACCCAGCCGTTCCTTTGCCATAAAAACTGTTCTTTTCTAGTCTTCCAATTTTTTTTTTATTTCACTTGCCCACCCAATATGGCTACAAGATATATTCCTAGTCCTGATTGCCAAATTAGAATTATGCTTGACATTTGATTAAATTTACAAAGTTACAAATAAAAGCGTTGAATTGAAGTATCATTTTTAAACTTTCCTTAAATTTTGCAGCAAGACAGCATAATTGATTATAAACATTGCTTGATAACAAAAAATGAAAATGGAGAATATAATCTCACCGGAACTAGAAAAAGTTTTACCAACCTTGTGGATTTGTTGAATTGTTACCGTACAGAAACCGTCCGATCGGACAGTATGATTTTCCAGTTTACCAGATGCTGCCCTCCAAAGCCAAAAGGCAAGCAATTTGAATTTTATTTGTTGAGGGTGATAATATTGTGTGGCTAACTGAACTAGAGAAATAACTGTCATTTGAGAAAAATACAAAGACCTACATTAAACAATAAAAGAGCAGAAATTTTTAACAACACTGCTCTCGTATAGGGGTGTGTGTGTATGTGTGTGTGTTAATATTCATAGCACACTGACAGACACTAGGATTAATAGATAAGATTAGATAGATGAGAGGAGCAGCTGCTGTCTTCCAATCCTTCAACTGCAGAGAACATTTTGCAAAAGGACGCTATTCAAAATACTGAAGCTCCATTTCGCAACAACCCCTCCCCACTGACCGATATAATTGGATATTTTGGAGTTTGGCAACAATTCCATTTTAAGTCCAGATTATTCCTGAAATAAAAGTTGTATGCTCCAATGTGTGATATTTATATGTACACATATTTATATATTTGTGATACATTCAGATTAGGATAAGGAGGAAAGTAGTAAAAGAAGAATGTAAGCTGCTAACCCTAAAATATAGGAAGTGTTTAAGTCGTTCCATCCTCTACTAGAGGATTCTAAAATCTGGATTCTGTGCACTGTTATACAAGCTTACCTTTAGAGCGGCTGTGCTTTGGGCACTTTGAAAATGGTTCTTGGATGAGAAGTAAAATGTCTTCAAAGAAAGTCCAGTTGCCTGTTGAAAAAAAGCACCTCTGTATTTTTATTCCATGGCTGCGTTTCCCCCCATTTTTGTTCACACAACAGTGAGGGGAAGTTAGGTCGATGACCCCACAATTACCAAGGTTTATTAATCAGAATTTACATAGGAAGCTTCATGGCTGAGTGCAGAATATTATATGCAGTAATTATCGGCTTTTGCTTTGGTTATAAATGAAACAGAGCTTTTAGTTACATATGCAATGGTTTGTGTTTGCATGTTTTTTTTCACTTTTTATATGTAAACAAGCCATTTCCCATAGACCCTTCTTTACATTCTCTATCAGCTTATATAATAATTATCTGGTTACCTTTTATAATTACCTTTTATAAATTGGGCTAGAAGACAAGCGAGTAAAATATGGTTGTGTGAACTTACACTCCATTGACTTCTTTTTGCAGATAAGTCCAACCTTCTTGTCTTCAGGAGCAATGGAGAGTCTGATATGCCAACATCACCTACTTTGCAGAGACATAATAATATCAATCAGATGGTTTTTCACAAAATTCGGAATGAAGATCTTATCTTTGTAAGATTAATACACTAGTATCCTTTTTTATGAACACCTTAGAATTAAGTTCAATTAATTTAAATATCATTGGACTTTTTCTCAGTGATATGTGCTACTGGAAATAATTTCTACACTATTCCATTTACCGAAAGATGGATGTTTATTATGATAAAAGCATATAAATATAAGATGTAAGGTTTCCCCTTCATTATTCATTGAAAATTGAATTTCATTTACTATGTAAGTACATTCATTAAGATAGGATGTGTTATCATTTCCTTCTTAAGATAAATTTTTGCTCTTATTAAAATAAAGATGAGTTCTTAAGCTGTTGTTGTTACAGGCCTTCCCACCCTCAGTTTATAGTTCTTTTGAGTTAAACAATGAGGTTGTTTAATTTGGTGTCTAAAAATATCTCTGTTCCAAAGCAGAGTTCCCAATCTTTCCGACTTTGCGGACTAGTTGGAGAGGGGAGAGGTGATGGTTCCAGAAGTGGGTGAGTGCACCCATGCACACATCCCCATTTGCGTGAGTGGCGAGAGAGCACACATGGCACAACTCCATTTGCATGAGTAACAGGCACATGCGCCCACCACTCATGCAAATAGATTGCACATGAGCTCACCCACTGCTTGCGCAAGTGGGGACACCTGTGCACACACTTCCCCATCACTTCCCCAACCGGGTTCCAAACAGCTCAAGGCCCAGTAGTCCCTTGCTCCAAAACAACCTTCTTGTATTAGTGGTTTTTTTTTTTACATGTTTTATTGTTTTTCATGTGGCCTGAAATGATTGACTAACCTTTATCTCCATTTTTGGCTTTTTTGTTTCTGTTTTTTGGGTAGAATGAAAGCCTTGGACAGGGCACCTTCACTAAAATTTTCAAAGGAGTAAGGAAAGAAGTGGGAGACTATGGTAAATTATATCAGACTGAAGTCTTGCTGAAAGTTCTAGATAAAACACACAGACACTACTCCGAGGTTTGTATATTAATTTAAAAAGTCATATTAATTAAAAGATGCTACTTTTTAAGTACTGGCTATGATAATGGTTTGAAATGATACACAGTGAAACAATAAAAACATTAAAAAGCATCACAACTGAAAAGAACAACCAAGATGCAAGTCAAATTTATTTGTTGATAGCCATTTCTTAGTTGAATAAACCTGATGAATTTTCCCTTGTTGAAAAGTATGCAAAGTTACTCACCTTTTAGATATACAGTAGGATTTTGAATATCTAAGAGACAAAAACAGATCTGAGTCACAGCTTTTCTTCTTTCTTTTTCTCCCATGAATGGTTTAAGTGAAATAATTTATACAAAATATACACTTCCATTTTCCTGAGTTACTGAAATTGCAGAATTTCAGCTTTTCAAAACTGAATTGGGGTTGGCTTAGCGATTGTACTAAAATATTACACCTACACTAAATAAATAAACTTTAATCTATGTTGATATTATGATTTCAGAAAAATAAAATTGTAGAGTTCTACTTCCCAGTCTTTCTCATGGTCGTGCAGATTTTGGTGTTTATTGCTGACTAGGAGTTCTGATAAATTCTGACTTATGAAGTTGATTATTCCATGAAAATTTTTAAGAGATACTGATACGTGGGTTCTGCAGCCTTAAACATTCAAAGAGCCATTTGGACCCGTTTTCCGCAGAAAAGAAAACACTGGGAGCCAATAATTTAACAACCAGTGTGACTGGGTGGGCGTGGCCCATGTGACGTCACTCACTTACTCCCACCCAGTTGCCTCCTACTCTGGAATATGGAGTGAGTCTCCACCCCCCACCATCACCCTTAACGTTCTCAGGGCAGGCGAGGAGTGACGGGAAGGGGCTGGCCAGTGGTGGGATCAACCAAAAGGGAGCCACAGCAGAGGGCAGAAAGAGCTGCATGTGGCTCTAGAGCCACAGGTTGCAGATTCCTGGTCTATACCAAATTAAGATGATTCTACACCATCAATAGTTAGAAGGTAAACTGTCAGGTTTTTCCACTTTTGAAAGCAAATGTGTTGAATTTGATATGATACAGCTAATAAAAATTCTATATGAAGTTTTGTCTCTGACTATAACAAAATTCTGTACCTTGGAATTCAAAAGCAATTTCCTAATGACTCATTTGTTAATTGTTCCCATCTTCGTTTTGTTAAATCTTCTATATATCAAATATTGCCATCTATTATGACCCAATATGAAGAGCATTCAGATGCTCATCACAAATTTATCTCTTGTCAGTGAATTGACACTGTTGTCAGTCCAGATAAAACCAGACAGGAAATACAACAAGATGAACTAATTCTATTTTAATTAACAGAATTTTGCAAGTCTGAAAGCACAAACGTCCCGCTGCTACTTGAGCCATTAGGGTGGGCCCTTTCTTTCTCTGACTATTAAGCTCCTTGAGGTTTCCACCTCTCTTATCTGGTAGTTTCCTGGGTAGCATCTTTCCTTTCATTTCCCAAGCCCATTAACATACTCTGTTACATCCATTATTAAAGTACTTGTTCATGATGGCAAATGGATTCTTAAACAAAAATTCTGAGACCAGTCCCGCAGAATTAATTGTGCAACAAGTAGAAGTAGCAGAAGACGAATGAAGTGGTGTGACAATATAACTGAATTAATTCCAACCAGTTCTTACTTTGACTCACTTTCTAATTAATATCTTTTTCTTGTAGTCTTTCTTTGAAGCAGCAAGCATGATGAGTCAACTTTCTTACAAACATTTAGTATTAAATTATGGAGTTTGTGTCTGTGGAGAAGAAAGTGAGTAAATCCAGTTAATGGTTTGTACTCTGATTAGAGGTTTTTTTTTCCAGAGTTCTTTTCTATAGTAAGGATACTGTACAGTATTTGAATAATGAATAAGGACAAAATCATGAAATAATGAAGGTTTTACTCTAACCACATTTGGGTAAAACAGTTATGCGTTTTCTTGAAAACAGAAAAAACTGCTGTTAAGTCCTTGGTGCTATCTGAGCTTGATTGCTTTCTTGCAGATATTTCATTACCAAAGTAGGCAACATCCCAGTGCTAGCACTGATGATGATATCTAATTTGATAATGAAACATCTGCAAGTAAACAACCAAGCTGAACTGCAAATGTTATCTTCTACTGGTATGTAAGAATCCTGCTGGGTCAGACCAACCCTTCACTTACTTTAGTCAGAGAGTCAAATAGAATCTTTCAAGACTATCACAAGTGTAAGTTGGTAAGAGCCCTCCTCTATAGCAGCTGGGTTTCAAAGAATACAACCTGTGATCAGTAGTCATTGATAGCTTCTCCCTTTAGTTGCCCTTTAGTCTCCTCTTAAAACTTTTTAAATTAGCAGTCCTCATTATACTAAATAACAGTGAATTCCAATATAATGGCTATTGTGTGTTTTGAAAGTGTGTATATGTGTGTGAAAGTTATTTTTGATTAAGTGCCTTCTTAATGCCTTTTTGCTTCATGCTGGCGTTGATTTTTGCTTCAATAAAAAATTGAACAGTCTAACATAATAACTTTGCATCATATCCACATGATAGCCCATTGTTAAAATCTCTTAATCATCTTCTTATCCACCAAAACAACTTTGAAAAGCAAGATTTTATGGCTTGTATTATACCTGTATGAAAATCACAGCAGACCAGGATATTCTGATTATTTTGTTCCTTACACTGAAATCTTGAAACAGACTGCTCTTGGTGCTTCCCAGAAGATAATAAAACTGTGTGTCCCACCAACCAGATTTTTTAAGGGCAGAATGTCAGTTATGTGAAGAAACACCTGCCTTCAAGGGGAGAGGGTATCGGATAAAATTTTCATTAAATCGTAGGAAGGGTAGAAAGAAGCACCAAAAATTGACTATAAGTGAACATTAAGAGGAAATTACAAATTCACGATGGCAGAACTCAAACACCTGTCGTGGTTGTTTCTGCTGAGTATGGAATAAAGAGCCTTGTGCAGCCTGTATTTTGGAGAACCTTGAGCTAATACCAGCTTACTATAACTATGCCAAGTCAAAATCTGGGAAAACCTGGTGGGATCTTGTCAGTTAACACATATGTTTATCATGTCAAGTAGAAGCTTGTGGCTAAATTGGTGTGAAGTTGTAATTCACCTTTGTTTATCTAGGATGCTTGATCAAATGCTTTTTTCATCAGCCGCTTTGTATTTGGTATTGTGGGGAAAATATTCTGCTTAGCTCTGTGAGTCAGCAAAAGGAAATTCACATCTCCCTGTAATGCGTAATAAATAGATAGAGATGAGGTTGTTTTGCTGAAATTCAGGTGGCTTAGCTGGCAAAGTACTACAAAAGATTTGATTACCATCCTAAGCCAATGAAAAAGTAATTGGTGCTTACCTGAATTTAATCTTGCACGCATTTGGCATCAGCTTGTGTTGTTATTAATACTGTCCCCAACTTTTCAGAGAAAAGGATGGGAGTTTGAGGAATCAATGAAAGACTGTGCTTTATGTATTCCATAACATACAGTCATATTAAGTACAGGTAGTTCTCAACTTACAACCATTCCTTTAGCAACTGTTCAAGATTACAACGGCGTTGAAAAAAGTGGCTTATGGCTGGTCCTCACATTTATGACCATTGCAGCATCCCCACGTTCATGTGATCAAAATTTGGGTGCTTGGCAACTGACAAGCATTTATAATGAGGTCATGTGATCATCATTTGTGATCTTCCCAGCCAGCTTCCAAGAAGCAAAATAAACAGGTAGACCTGTTCACTTAGCAACTGCCTGGTTTATTTAACAACTGCAGTGATTCGCTTAACGATGGTGCAAAAAACTTGTAAAACTGGGCATGACTCACTTAAGAACTGCCTTAGCAATGGAAATTCTGACCCCAGTTGTGGATTCAAGTGGAGGATTACCTGTACTTGTATTTGATAAAGTTGTTTTGTCTGGCTACCTAGAAGAAGTTGTGTTCCATATTTTGGCATTCTTATGGAAAGAACATGAAAGCAGCTTTTATAATCTGTTCTGTTTCTGAGAATTAATTAGCATTAATTATTCTAGAAGTGAGAGCTTAAATTTAAGTAATTTACAGTGTATACTGGAGTACATAAGGAGACTAACCAGTGTGGTAATTAAGAGTTACTGTTTGAATTCCACTGTGTTATTATATATTTCTTACCAGATATTCTGGTTCAGGAGTATGTAAAATTTGGATCATTGGATACTTACTTGAAGAAAAATAAAACTTCTATAAATATCTTGTGGAAATTAGAAGTTGCAAAACAGTTGGCAATGGCAATGCATTTTTTGGTAAGTTTTTCAGTTTTACTGGTATTGGTAAAAATTCTAAGTTTATTCAGGATATTTTAGGCTTTTGGTTATAATTATCCATTTTCACAAACTTCTCTTTGTTGGAATAGTATTTAGTTATTTGGAATTTGAGTTTGTACTTTTTTCATAACTTGGATATTGCTGATAAACAAATACAAGAAATGGCTTTTTCTAGGGTGAGAAATTGGAGTTATGCAGGCCTACCAGCTCTTGGATAATGGCTTTAATTTCTCTTTTGGAAACTATAGCATTAGTTTATTTTAGGGCAAATTGTATGTTGGGTCAACTTCACCAAGCTATGAATTTTAGGATCACGCATTCTGTCCCCCTGTTTTCTAACCTTTGTACACCACTGAATGTTCCTACCATGTCCAGGTGAAGGATTTTCACGTCAGCACACTACATAAATGCACTATATAAAGCTTGAATTGGAATCTTTCTTTTAGCCCAGAGGTCTCCAAACTTGGCAACTTTAAGACTTGTACACTTCAACTCCCAGAATTCTCCAGCCAGCTTTGCCCTGTTTTAGCTTATAGCAAGAAGGGCACAAATGAGTTTTGGAAATAAATCACAGCTTTTTAGATATAGTTCATATTAATCAGGCAGTGCAACCAGTTGTCTCCTAAATATCTTCCATGCTCCCTGCTAAATTAGATGATGCAGTTCCCATTTTGGCAAGGTTTAGGAACCACTTACAGAATGGCTTGTCCTTTGGTTTCTCTGTTGATACTATAATTATTGGAGAAAGGCTGTTCTAAAATCACCATGTTCCTATAGTGCAGAGCTCTCCAAATATGGCCAGTTGAGGAATTCTGGGAATTGAAGCATGCAAGTGTTGAAGTTCCCAGGTTTGGAGAGCCCTGCTATAGTGTTTGGGAGCTGTCTGGATTGAATCCAGAGGTTTGACACTCTCAGAATAGGACCTTTGTAGTTGCTGGGTTATTAATATATTAAGAGGATACATAAATTGAAGAAGTTAGAAAGACTTTTAAATCCCACCTATCTCAAGATCCTAAATACTGTGTAGTGCCATATATGACCAGCAAGCCTAAAACAGTGGCATATCTCTGGATTAGACTTAGAGAAGAACTGTACACTATATTACAGTTTTTAAATCTCTTTATGCTTAATATTTTTAAATAGTATTTTGAAGTAAACACAGTCAGCTTGCAGACCATCACATCGTATCTAGTAGAATGATCAAATCTTCCCCTTTTATCTTTTTCAGGAGGATAAAAACCTCGTACACGGGAATGTATGCGCAAAAAATATCTTGCTTATCAGAGAGGAAGATAGGAAGTCTGGGAACCTTCCTTTTATCAAACTTAGTGATCCTGGTATCAGCATTACAGTTTTGCCAAAAGACAGTAAGTTTCTGATTCCGCAATCTGAGCACACTGTGAAAATGGCATGTCCATGGCTTTCTTTCACTGATTATTTTTTTCCGGGGAATTCCTGTTTTCCTTTGTATTTCCAGGACAAACTTCCCACATTGTGGGACATATTTTAATCATCATACTGCTACATATTATGCTGTTTAAAATTGCTTGCATTTGTAAATGTGTCTTTTTTGTGAGATGATATTGCATACTGCAATATGATGCTGAAAATGTATTAAAATATCCTAGAATGTAAGCTCAAAGTATTTATTTGCAGTATATTGCAGTGGCTTTCTGCAGGGTCAAAATGCTCATAATCTGTTGGTACAAATCTGGCAGAATTACACAGCTGTTCTTGCTTTGTAACTAGTAGTGTCTAATACATGGAAGCAAGTATATTTTATAGCAAAGAAATCAGTGCATAAACTTAACATATATACAACAATCATGTCATTGTTAACTAACGGCATTTGCTTTTTAACAGTGTTAATTATCTACTAAACCGATCTTTATTTTGTTTTATTATTATTATTTTCTTCCTTTCAGTCATGTCTAATTCTCATAGATCACCTGGACAAGTCCCTGCAGTTTTATTGATAAAAGCTTTTCAGAAGTGGTTTGCCATTGTCTCCTTCTTAGGTCTGAGAGAAAGTGATTGGCTCAAACTCATCCAGACAGCTTCCTGTCCAAGGCAGGACTAGAACTCACAACTAACTTTTATTAATTTCACTTCAAGAGCTTATAAAATTGGACAGCAATTAAAACATTCCAGGAATCTTTAGTCTAAAATTTTTATAATTCCTTCCCAGTAAAAGTTCACTCTTTTTTTTTTCCCATGGTCAGTTCTTCTGGAGAGGATTCCATGGGTGCCCCCAGAATGCATCGAAAGTCCCAAGCAGTTGAGCCAGGCGGCGGACAAGTGGAGTTTTGGGACAACTCTGTGGGAAATCTGCAGTGGAGGAGACAAACCTCTCAATGCACTGGATTCTCAAAGGGTAAGACGCATTGAGCTATCTCTGTCCCTCTACAGTAATTAAACTTGCTAGATGCTAATGCACACCAGTTGTTCTCACATTTGAGTGCAGTTTCTTCCTGGGGCTCCCTCTTACATTAATGTCTAGAAAATATTTTTTGACATACTAACAGGTATGATCTCCATGCCTGCCTTTCTGGTCTATCAGACAGAACCTATAGCCAAAAAGGATTTTGTTGAAAAGGTAAGTTCCCTCGCATTCCTCTTTGTCACATTATCTTGTTGAACTTACATATACTTCCCCGTTTTCTGGAAGAGGGTTGGATTGCATTAAGTGGGAGAAGTATTAAGAGTGTTTTGCTTTGTTTTAAGTAAGCCTCCTGGGGTTAAACTCTGTTCCTCGCAATTTCATTGTTTTCTTGGTAACAGTATGGAGGTGGTTTGCTTTCCATCTGACCTTTTCTTAAATTTCAGCCCAGCCTTCAGTCCGTGGATTTCTTGTGGCTCTTTATTGAAGTACGAATTAAGTTGAACTTGTCTTAGCTTTTTGCTATCATTTAAGGTTTAAAATAATATTATTAAGAAAATTCAGTGTGACGTTAAATAATTTTAAGGTGATTTTCTGTTCAGAAGAAGAAGAAAGGATGTTCCTAGGTCTTGTCTAGAATTTCAAAAGGCTTAAGCAGTTCATTTAGGGAAATCATCCCAACTCTGCCAATAAATTCAGGGAAATCATCCCAACTCTTCCAATAAATGCTCTATGAAGCATCTTTTAATTTGTTAATTTATGATGACTCACCCATTATTCAGATTTGTTTATATTGATTTATTTGAAATGATTGTGTCCAAAAAGGGATTTGGGGAAAATGTATAACAGAACACAGGGAGTAAATATTTCTGTATTACAATCTTGTTGGAAGAAGTTTAAATAGACATAATTAGTATGAATTAGCAATAACAAAATCCTACTCCCCTTTTAAATTGAACTTTGAGCATAAGATCCAGGATACAAGTTTTTGTGCTGTACTTCCTGCATGCTAAAAAACGTAAACAATTGTTTCTCACTGTAGAAAGCATCTTAAAATAAAAATATATTAATAATCCATATAATGTGTCAATGTCTAGAAGCTACAATTTTATGAAGACCGGCATCAGCTTCCTGCTCCCAATTGGACAGAACTGGCAAATCTGATAAACAATTGTATGGAATATGAAGCAGATTTCCGGCCCTCTTTCAGAGCAGTTATACGGGATCTGAACAGTTTATTTACACCAGGTAGGTAAAATGGAGGAAAGAGTTCTCCATTTTCTTGGATTCTCTTAGAATTTCATCCACTCTCTGGAACTTGGATATAGTAACTGGATATAGTCTTTGTTGCAAGAATTATAGTAAGGTAATATATGTAAAATCTGTATTTCCTATTTAAATAATTGGATTTTTTTTCCTTTTTCAAGATTATGAATTACTAACAGAAAATGATATGTTACCAAATATGAGAATTGGTGCTCTTGGATTTTCTGAAGCTTTTGAAGGACGGGACCCAACTTACTTTGAGGAGAGACACCTCAAATTCTTGCAGCAACTTGGCAAGGTAAGAAGCTGGGGTAGCTTATTGCAAAGATATGCCTGTATTTTTTAGAATTATACCCTACTGTATATGAATTGGAACATGTTAGGCATCCATAAGTCAGTATAATTCATATTGCATATATGTATTTTCTTGAATTTGGGGGCGTAATGGCTGAGCAGTTAAAGACACAGAATTTTTAGCTGGAAAGCTGACAGCCCGAGGTTCAAGACCCAGGTTGTCGAGACTTCGGTGGGAAGGTAACAATGTTATGTGTGCTTCAGCCTATAGTCATGCTGGCCACATGACCACAGAAATGTCTTCAGACAAGGCTGGCTTCCTCCACTAAGAAATAGAGATGAACACTGCCCCTAAAGTCAGAGATAACTGGACAGGAGAAACTTTTATTTTACCTTTCATGAATATATATATATATATTTAAATGAATAGATTTGTATGCCACTGGTATTTTATGGCCTCCAGGCCATATTCAGTCCTTTGACTGTCCTTTTCCAGCCCACATGGATTGCTTTTATTTTGAAGGTAGCTGCTATTTATTTTTTCTTCAATTTACGTATGCGGATGCATACATACCTGCGTACGCACCTCCACAGACCTATTGGTTCAGCCCTCCATAAGGGTCTCAGTTTCTCATGTGGCCCCTTGGGAAAAACGATTGCCCATCCTTGGGAGTGCATTTATCTTGGCCATAACCTATTATTTTCTTCTTTTGGTTTATATAATTTGGTTTTCCTTCATTTGAATACCCTGTGAATTAATGCAAACTGGGACAGCTATTTGTATTGAATTGCTGGTAGATCCAGTTAATGGCTGGAATATTGCATAGCACATTATATATCAGCCTCAATCCTTGCATGAGGCTGAAAGAACAATTTGTAGTACAGGTAATCCTCAACCTAGGACCATAACTGAGCCCAGAATTATGGCTATGAGTTGTGATGGTTGTTGGACATCATGTGAGCATTCCTGATTTTATGACCTTTTTTGCAATGGTTGTTACACGAACACCACAGTCATTAAGTGAATCTGTTGTTCTTCAATGGTTGTTGTTGTTTTTTTTGCCAGAAACAGGAAGTAAACAGTGGAAACTGGCAAAAAATATCAAAAACTATGATCATGTAATTGTGAGACACTGCAAATAGCCATAAATGAGAGCTGGTTGCCAAGTGACCTAAATGCAATCACATGACCATGGGAGATGGTGCAGCTGGTGGTACTCAGGAACTAGGTCATAAGTAGCCTTAGGGAGGTCTGTTGTAATGATCACTAAGTGAGGACTATCTGCTTTTCTGGCTGCTCTCTCCACACGCACACACACTTTTTTCAAAATGCTTCTATTTCTTTGTTTTGCAGGGTAATTTTGGAAGTGTGGAAATGTGTCGATACGATCCACTGCAGGATAATACAGGGGAGGTGGTAGCTGTGAAGAAACTGCAGCACAGCACGGAAGAATACCTGCGAGATTTTGAACGAGAAATTGAAATTCTCAAATCTCTGCAACATGACAACATTGTCAAGTACAAAGGAGTGTGCTATAGTGCAGGTACTCTGCACATTTAATCACATTATTCATTACCTATTTAAGCAACATGCTGATGACCTGGGATAATATTTGCCCTTAATGTATTGAAACATTTTTATGAACTGCTACTTTCTTTGTTTTGTCTTAATATTTCTGGTTAATTTCTGCTGCACATAAAATTTGAGAAGCTTGTTTTTCCAGGTTAATTTTTTTTGTTGGGTTGTTGTTTTGTTATTGTTGCTGTTGCATGAAATAGATTTTGTTTAGCGATGGCTTTTAAATGATTGCAAAATTATTTCTTTGTAACTTTTAAAAATTCTCTCTTGTATATATATTCATATTTGCTTTGAAAAGTATACTATCAGACCTAAAACCTGTTTTGCTTTAGTTTTAAATCTGCTGATTGATGCTAGAAGTAAAAAATGGTATTTCAAAACCAAACTAGATAATACTGGCCTCACTTTCATGTCTTAATCACAAAACTATTTAATAGTCATAGAAGCTACTATGTATCAAACTGGTGAGCTTGAGCCCATCCACATGTTATGGGAAAATACTATTGCTCATATTAGTCAGGTTGTCTGCAGCTATTAGTATAGTTCAGCAATATGTAGGTGCTACGTGTTTCTCTGTATTCACTGCCTGAGAAAGGTGTAATTTCATTTTAGATACTTGTTTCATTGAGGGCATGTGTGATGCTCACAGTACAATTTTTTTCTTGTTCATTGGCCAGGGAACACCAGAAGTTGCAGCTTTTATTTTCTCATATTGGTGTCCTGTTGTCAGTTCAGGATAAAACGTTACATTTCCTCCCTCCCTCCCTTCCCCTTGTGTCCCATCCAACTCCCAATGACTCTGGGCAGCTCACACGTAAAAACATTTTTAAAAAGATGCAATCAGTAGTAGAAATAAGGAATAAAAGATAGCAAGATGAAAGAAACTGACCGGATTTCAAAAAAGAATGCAAAGGGGATTTACTTAGAGCAGGGGTGTCATGCCCACCCCAGCTCCACAAATGTAGAAAACACCGCAAAATGTCATGTGAGGGTAACGTGATGTGGAATTTGATGCCCGTGACTTAGAGCCTTTAAAACACCAGTAGGATGGGGGTTATTTGATTCTTGGGGTCATTCTAGAGAACAGGCACCGCTACAGAGAAGGTACATTTCCTGAGTCCCTTTTGACTACATTATTTAATTGAAGAAACTGGAGCACGCCAAATCTGCTGGATTGAATTGTCAGGGCAAATACTCTGGAAGACAGGTGGTCCCTCAAGACTCCAGGTCTATGCCATGTAGAACTGTATAGGTACCCATCAGCACCTTGAATTGAATCTGGAATCAAACTGGCAACCTGTACAGGTTACAAAGCAGAGGTGTTAAATGGGCATACTGAGACATGCCCATCACTGCCCACGCTGCTGCATTTTGCACTAGTTGAAACCTGTAGGTGGTCTTCAAGGATGGTCTCACATAGGACACATTGCAGTAGACCAGCAGTGAAGTGACCAGGGGTATGAGTGACTGTCTGATCCAAGAAAGGACACAACTGGCCCAGCTGATGAAATTCCAAAGGTCTTCTTGGCCACAGTTGCTACCTACACAACAAGCCAGAGCTGTGAGTCCAGAAAGACCCTTCAGATTACCTAACACTCTTGAACATAGAAGTGCAATCCCATCCAAGATCAAATATAGAATATCACGAGATCTGGGTGATTCAGACACCCACTGCCACTTGGTTTTTATAGCATCTTCTTGTTGTTATCAATAATAATCTTAACAGCCTCCCTTGACTGGCTCCGGGTTGAAAGATGTATTTGGAACAATAAGCACACGGGTAATATATCCCTGTTTTCTGTTTTGTTCACATAGAGTAGTTGTATAGAGTTAAACTTTAAGTGCAATGTTTTGAAGCTTTAATATATATTAAGGATCATTCAGCATTGGTGTTTTGGATTACAACAAGCCTCTATCTGAAGGAGGAAAATTATTGTGATTCTTCCAATCTTTTTTTAGAAACATGTTTGTTGGCCATTTTATTTTTCTTATATGTACCCATTTCATGTATTCATAACTATGTATATACTTATACCTATTATCTTATAAGCAATTGACAAATCAAAATAAATAAATAAAAATTTAAAAAATGTCAGAAGTAGTCTTATGCAGGAGAATTTCAGTGCTATATATGGAGAAATTCCTTTAAACTATAATTCTAAATATTTTTTTTTGTTTGGAAAGGTCGGAGAAATCTGAAGTTGATAATGGAATATTTACCCTATGGAAGTTTACGGGATTATCTCCAGAAACACAAGGACAGGTTGGATCATAAGAAACTCCTACAGTATGCTTCTCAGATATGTAAGGTAATAAATTTAACTAGCCCTATTAAGCCTACTATGGGATTAAACTGAATTATAGTCTTCATTGTCCCGAAGGTACTTTTTCAAGAGGCAACTGGACTTTCTGTTTTTTCTTTGAAGACGTTTCACTTCTCATCCAAAAAGTTTCTTCAGCACAGAGTTGAAGGAAGCTTTTTGGATGAGAAGCGAAAGGTCTTCAAAGAAAAACCAGAAAGTCCAGTTGCCTCTTGAAAATGCGCTTTTGGGACAACCATGACCTGGATGATTGAGAATCTCCATGTACAGTTTTCATTGTTCTCCATAAATGCTAGTCATGAAATATTCTTATAGGGAAATGTTTTTTTTTCCCTCATCAGTGACACAAAACCAATCCATTCCCTTTCTATAATCAATCTTTTTTTTTAATAACACAGTCATGACTCCTCTTGCTTGTTTATTTATTTTTTTATTTTCTTTACATCTTGTTTCTTGACACATGCCAGTTTCTAATAGTGAAAAAGCAGTTGAGTGCATTAGTTTCCTTTTCATTTGATTGATGATTTGGGGAGGGAAGGCATTTCTGTAGCTGCCGGAGAATACAGGTTATATTATATAATGTAACAATAGCGAAAGCTGTTTGTAATCTGATTATAGGTATAGAGTGGGATTGTTCTAGGCATCAACCAATTTTTTCCTGCCCTTGATAGTGAGGCTTTCACTTCATTTGTTCCTGAAGTAGCTTTTTAATGCGGGTGGTCCTTAACTTGTGACAATTGAGCTCAAAAATTTCCATTGCTAAGGAAGCTGATAAGTGAGTTATGCCCCATTTTACGACCTTGTCACAGTTGTTTAGTGAATCATTGCAGTTGTTTAGTGAATTGTGCAGTCATTAAGCAACTCCAGCCTCCTCCTCCCCCCATGAAAAGACTTTGCTTTTCAGAAGCCAGCTGGGGAGGAGAGAAATTGTGATCACATGACCCCCAAGATGGCAATTTTCAATATATGACCATTGCCAAGTGCCCTGATTTGGATCACATGACTATGAGGATGTCAGCAATGGTCATAAATGTGAAAAACAGCCATGGAACACTTTTTTCAGTGCCATTGTAACTTAACATCCACTAATGGAATGGTTGTAAGTCACTTACTTTGATTGGGAGCCACCCACAGTTGGTTGAAAGATGGGCAGCTATCTCTTACACAAGCACACACAAACACAGAGGGTTTTTTTTTTCAGGAACTGTAAAGCCCATCCTCATTTAATTGTAGCAGTATTGCAGTCACAATTACATATAGGATCCAAACTCTTACTTGGATGGGTTTCCACCAAAAGATAACCTGGAACAGAAATAATTCTTTCTGCTCTTATCTGAATCACATAAATAATGCATACCAATATTTAATATCAGTTTCCTAATTGCCATAGGGGGTGAAGAATAGTAAAAGTCAGTTGTAAAGTATATATGTCAAGGCATGATGAAACAATTTTAAGAAGCAGTTCATCATTTTATCCTTCTGGCCTAACAAGACAAGAAAGACAAAAAGTGACATCTAGTGGCAATTAGGAAGAAATGATGAGTTATCATCAGTTTCAGGAAACTTCCCCTTCAACATTGTCTTGTAATTTTTTTTTTCTCCTGAGAGGGTGCAAGATGATTTTTGACACTTTATAATGCCTTGTTTTTTGATCAGCTTAATGGAATGTTATTGCAAAAAATGTGCAATGTTCAGAAATAAGTTATATGACTCATAAAGTCTTTCACCAAGACTTTGGTACTCATTAAACCAATTAATTTTGATTTCATCTATATATAGGGCATGGAGTATCTGGGTTCAAAAAGATATGTACATAGAGATCTGGCAACACGAAATATCTTGGTGGAGAATGAAAACAGAGTGAAAATTGGAGACTTTGGCTTGACAAAAGTTTTGCCACAGGATAAGGAATATTACAAAGTAAAGGAACCAGGAGAGAGTCCTATATTTTGGTATGTTTTCAATTGGTGATAGATTCTGACTAGAAAGAGACAATAGATAATTTCACAAGACTTCTGGCTTTTAACTACCATGGATTTCTGAATTAAAAAGCCACTTAAGCTGGTTATGCTCAAAGTAATGTTTGCATTTGCAGATTTCTGAGTCCTCTCATTTTATCCTGCAGGTGTTTTTATTTATTTATTTATTAAATTTATATGCCAGGTATGCTCTGGAATCCTTGACAGACAATAGGTTTTCTGTGGCCTCAGATATGTGGAGCTTTGGTGTGGTTTTGTATGAACTCTTCACTTATATAGACAAGAATAAAAGCCCTCCAGCGGTAAGTAATGTGTATATATGACGACATTTTTATATGTGGAAGTATAGTGTTGTGGTCATCTTCTTGATTTAAAAGATTAGTTTCTTGGCAGCATGCTCTATTGCCTTACGTGTTTCTTTCACACCACCAAAAGTAGCTTGAATCAAATATAGTAATAACAGGAGACTCACTGAAGGATTACACCTGAAGCACATAATGCAAAAAATTTGTTTGAAGCACTTTTTCTCAGTTCTTCAGTTGAAATAATCTCTAAAACAGCTTGTCAGAAATGTGTTTTAGCTTGGGTTCAAAAGACAAATGCAGGGAAAAAAAGAATATGGGAAAAAAGAAAGGAAACGATTGTGAAACGCTTAAAATTATAACATGTATAAAATTACTAGATTGAATGGAAAAATGTCAACACAAGGGAAGAACCAAATAGTTTATTTTTCAGTGTAACCAATGCAATCAGCCTGCTTTCTTTATCAGACGTTTTGGTGCCTGCTAGATACAATTATAGGTAGTCCTTGATTTACAACCATTTGCTTGGCAATCATTCAAAGTTACTGTCAAGGCTCCGACTAACAAACCCACCTTCTCAAAGGTCTTTATTGAGTAAATCATATCCACACAGCTTCAATGGAAAACCAAATCTAAATCTTCCCCGCGGTTTCAGTATAATTAACCTAGGAAATAACCCCATCCCGAAGTGTCACAGGTCACGTTGGCCAAATGAATTAATTGGTGGTCTCTTCAGGCACTCCTTTCCTAACCTTACTTGTTGCCAGTGAAGATGACCTTGGTTCTCATGAGAAAGCTCTCTGTTGTGTCTAGTAAGGCATTCCAACTTCCTTCCCCTTCTTCTCCCTTTGTGTGGCAACTGAGGAACACAAAAATGGCTGCTGCCAGGTTCGGTTCAAAGTTGACAGTTACAATGTCACTGAAAAAAATGACATGCGGCCAGTCTTACACTTAAAGTTGTTACTGCATCTCCATAGCCATGTGATCAAAATTTGGGCACTTAGAAACCAGTATGAATTTATGACTGTTACAGCATCCTTGGGTTATGTGATTGCAACTTTCACCATCCCGAAGTTTATTGTTGCTGCGTCTGTGTTGATTGCCCTGAAAATCCAAATGTATTTATTTTTTTAAAAATAATCCTAGAACACTATCATTATTGTTGCAACAATTCCGTTTTGGATTTTCATTTCAGGAGTTCATGCGCATGATTGGAAACGATAAGCAAAACCAGATGATTGTGTTCCATTTGATAGAGCTTTTGAAGAATAATGGGAGGCTGCCAAGGCCCGATGGATGCCCTGATGAGGTATTGGGTTGTAACCTGCATATAACAAGAATGCCTGAATTGTTTCTGCAGTTAGTAGAGATGGTATCATCAGAGAAAGATTGCTTGTATTTATTTGTCATAGGACTAAAGATAGTCCTCAGATTACAGCAGCAATTGTGACCGAGGTTTCCTGTTATTAAATGATGCAGTCATGAAGTGCATTGTCACATGACCACATCACTTAGTGACTGCAGTCCAGGTGATCTTGCTATTTGTTAAACTAGGACTGCATAGGTCATTAGGTAAGGACCTAATGATTGCAAAATGGCAAGAGGTGGGAATCCAGAAGCACTTCCTAACATCACTGAACCACATCCCAGCAAAGCAGACCAGTGGGCAAGAGCTATGGGCAATGCTGTGGGCGGGCACCATAGAGTCTAAGATCCTTCTGCCACCCAGAGACTCCTTGGGAGCAGAAAGCAGTGGGAGCCAGCTTGCAAACTCCTGCTGGCTTCCCCATTGACTTTGCTTGTGGGAAGGTTGCAGGGGAGGGTCACAAATAATGACTGTGGGAAGCTGCAACAATTGTAATTGTGAGCTGGTTGCCAAGCACCTGAATCTCAGCCAGGTGACCATAGGGATGGCTGCTTCAACAGCTTCAAGGAATAGTCAAAAGCCCTCCTTTTTCGATGCCGTTGTAACTTCAAACAGCCACCGAACGAGGGGTTGCTAAGCGAAGACTACCTAATCAGCATCTACCTCTCAGTAGGCGTGTTCCAAAATCAAAAGTGATTTAATTTCTAATTAGCAGTTTCAATTAGAAAGAAAAGCAGCGGCTAAAAATGTAATAATAGTTGGTGAAATCAATGATCCCCTCTAGAATTGAGTCTGTTTTCAGTTTCCTAGCTGTTAGAGGTCCTCCTATATTACTACCACCAGCTACATTGAACAAGAGTCATTCCTAAAATGAATTCAGTAGATTTTGAATTCAGTGGATATTTATGTTTCTGTTGAAAATAGGAAATGATCTTAAGTGTATAACACAGCATCCCCAAATTTACTTGAGGGATACAACCTCATGGCTAAATGGAATGAGAATTTTTTTCTCAGTTCTTTTATGATTACCAGCCCCATTGGCAATAGAAGCAATCTAATAGGCAAGATGGTGATGAAGAAATAGGGGGAATTCTTCTTCTATAAAATTAAATATCCTGTAGACTAAACCAGTTCCTCAGTCTTGTTCTTGACTAATCAAGGAATTGTATGCCTACAAATTAGGTGCACTTAGTATAAGATACTAAGAGAGGGAAGATTTTTATATGAGATAATATGTATAGTATACCAAAGTGTTCAGTGTCTTTGGTTCCAAGGTTATTAATAATCCAAGATAAATTAATTAGCCCCTTATGGTTCTTATTGGATTGTTATTATTGATGTCATTGCTATTGTTATTAACTCATACTGATGTTTTTATCTTATTAAGGTTTATACCATCATGTCAGAGTGCTGGAATAATAATGCAAGTCAGCGGCCCTCTTTCAGAGATCTTGCTTTGAGAGTGGATGTCATAAGGGAAGGCCTGGGTGGATGAAAATACTGAACTTGATCCAAGGGGACATGAAAACGTGCAGAGCAAATGTACTTTGCTCCTTAAGCAGTTGCAGACTGTCGGCCATCTTCTTCCTATCCTTGAAGGTGGAGACTTGGGGGAAATCGTCCTATCAGAACTTACAAACGGTGAAGATCTCTGCTTTAGCTTCTTCATGAGGAATGCTACCCCAATGCACCAATGGAAAGCACTTTGATAGAAAAAGGAGTTCCTTTTTTTAAAAGAGTAAAACAGCAGTCAGTATTGCCTAATACGGATTTGCAGTTCAAAATGTCAAGAAGAAAAGTCAAGGGAAGGTGGAGAGTTGGTCTACAGAATTTTTCTTTTCTGAGTTGAAGAAAATTTAGGTTGCAATCTTATATCATCTATTCCATGGGGTATATGCCCTATTGATTTCTTGAGACTTATTCTAAGAAAACAGATAGAATTCTACTCTTAAAACAGTAGATTTCCTGCAGAATGTATACTATTCAGCTTCAGCACAAGAAAAGCACATTCCTAAAGGCATCACTTTGAAGAGGAACAAATGTTTGAATTGAAGTTTAGCAATGCCTATTCACACTGTGGTTCAATCACTTATATTGATTAGAAAAAAATGATTTCTAATCTCTTTTTTTTAGTTTCCATTTTAGTCCATTTTGTTTCCTAAAAGTAGATGAGATTAATTTGTTCATTTTCTTATTGTGTATTTCTTGTGTATGGTTATGCAGTTCTTTTGAGAATATGCATTCAACATTAAAAGACATGGTAGAGAAGCAAAGAACTCTCAAGATAAGAGGAGAAAATATCACAACTGGTTCTTGGAGTTGCCTCTATATCATGGAAGATCCCCAGACTTTCAATGTGGAATCCCAAAAAGGAAACTTTTGCAGAATGCAGAAGACATCACTATCCTGCCTGAATTCGTAAAGCAATTCTGAGTGCCTGTGGATTACATTCCAAAAAGCCCCCGGGAATTCCTGTTTGCCTTTTTTATAGGAAAGAAAATGGTTCCGCGTGCTTTTTCATGGCTTACACAAGGGCTTATATTTTTTTCTTTAATGCTAGTTTAGCTGGTTTTTACCATGTTGAGGCGTTATGGCTCCAGTGAAGAGGACAAATCAGAGGTTTAGTACTTGATTGAGCAACTATATGCTTGTCTGAGCCAGTGGCGGGTCGGCAAAAGAAGCAGATATGCCTGTTGAGACAGTATAATGCACTGTGTATATATATATATATTTGTTTTCTTAAGTTTTCGTGGGTACTTAAATGTATGGTATTCAGCTTTGTTCGGGTATTTTCCCACATCATTGTAGTTGTGCTTTTAAAGTTGTAGCAACGTTTCGGCAGAATCTCATCTGCCATCATCAGGCTTCTGTATTGTGTTCATCTGTGAGTCAGACTTTTACAGTTGTTTCAGTTTTAAATTTGGGGCTAGCCTACTGCTGTGCCAGAATGGTTTTTTCTTCATCCTGATTGGTTGGGAGTCTTGGTCTGTGTTTATTGGTCTTGGAGTTTGCTGTGTTCTGCTTGATTGGTGTTTCTAATATCTTCTGTCTG